ATATATATATATATATATATCGGTGAATGACAGCAGAGAGGGGAGATGAGAAAAATTAGCTGATATCCAATTGGTCGTGAGCGTCACGTGTCTGCTCCATTGTCCGCAGAGCAGGGTGTGTTCCGCGGGGCCACTGGCTGCGTGGGGCTGGGTCGGCACTGGATGTCTTTCTCAGCAGCATCCTTCCTCCTCTTCCTCTCCTGTCATCTCGTCGCTTCAGTTCTGTAAAAGACGCTTCGGATGGAGGCACTGCTGCGGGCTCAAGCGKGATGAGGCGTGTTTAGCTGCTGACACCGGCGTCGAGGACAGGGATAATAAATCTGCTGAGGACAGCTTCGCTTTTTCACGAGATGATGTCTTCAGGTAAAAACTGCGAGTGTGTGAGGGTGGTGGTCCGCTGCAGACCGTTCACCAGGAAAGAGAAGAGGGCGGAGTGTGAGAACATTTTGGAGGTTGACGACAGACTGGGGCAGATCACCATCAGAAACCCAAAGGCACCACCTGATGAGCCCCTCAAAGTCTTCACCTTCGACTCGGTGTTTGGCTGGAAGTCCAAACAAAGTGACATTTATGACGATGCGGTGAGACCGCTGGTGGACTCGGTCCTCCTGGGCTTTAATGGCACCATCTTTGCATATGGACAAACTGGAACAGGTAAAACCTACACTATGCAAGGTGTTTCGACGGACCCCGAGAAGAGAGGTGTCATCCCAAACTCCTTTCAGCACATCTTCACCCAGATATCCAGAAGTCAGAACCAGAAGTACCTGGTCAGGTCTTCGTACCTGGAGATCTACCAGGAGGACATCAGGGATCTCCTGTGCAAGGACAACAACAAGAAACTGGAGCTGAAGGAGAATCCTGACTATGGGATCTACGTGAAGGACCTGTCTTCAGTGGTGACAAAGAATGCCACTGAGATTGAGCATGTAATGAACATTGGGAACCAGTCCAGAACCGTTGGGTTTACCAACATGAATGAACGCAGCTCCAGGTCTCATGCAATCTTTGTGGTWACCGTAGAGTGCAGCGAAGTGGGCCTGGACGGCGAGGACCACATTCGGGTTGGGAAGCTGAACATGGTGGATCTGGCTGGCAGCGAGCGCCAGAGCAAGACAGGGGCCAAGGGGACCCGGCTGAAGGAAGCTGCCAAGATCAACCTGTCCCTCTCAGCACTGGGGAACGTCATTTCTGCTCTGGTGGATGGAAGGAGCACCCACGTCCCCTACAGGGACTCCAAACTGACTCGCTTGCTCCAAGACTCACTGGGGGGTAACGCCAAGACAATCATGGTTGCGACGGTGGGGCCCTCTCACAAGAGCTTTGACGAATCCCTGGCAACGCTGCGCTATGCCAGCAGGGCCAAGAAGATCAAGAACAAGCCCCGGATCAATGAGGACCCCAAAGACGCCCTGCTCAGGGAGTTCCAGGAGGAGATCGCCCGCCTGAAGGCTCAGCTGGAGGAGCGAGGGATGCTTGCCAAGGAGAGGAGAAGGAAGAGGAACAGTAAAAGACTGAGTAAAAGCATGGCTGCTATGGAGGAGGATTTTCTGTTTAAGAAGGATGCAGATGTGGAGGATGAACATGGGAAAGATCGTCTGTTGGAGGGATGCAGAAATCCAAAGGTTCTGATCCGCCAGGGGGGCAGTGAGATGTTTAGGCATCTTAACAGAGCAAGTCTTGAAGACGTTCAGTGGGACCAGCAAGCCGTGGAGAAGATCCTAGAGAAATATAAGGTAGAGTACAGGAAGAAAGGCTRTTTCACTGTCGTATAAATACATTAATAATTGACAGTGTCTTTGTTCACAGGCTATGGAGAGCAAATTGTTGGTWGGAGGAAAGACCATCATAGATCACACCAATGAACAACAGAAGATGCTCGAGTTAAAGAGACAAGAAATTGCAGAACAGGTAATAAYAGTGAAATAATGTTTTATTTACACCACAAGAAGACAAACAGGGGTCTCTGCAGTGGACATGAATGYTTTTTCCTGTTCTTGTCAGCAAAAAAAATCTAATAAACATTTTTTTAATAAAACTCTATGAAAGTAATCACTAGCTGTATATCTAAGACTGATTTAACACTTAAAACCAGTCAAATTCAGGATGTCCGTTCCAGACAATTAACCTAGCTTATAACTTCATAGGTTTTACAGTTATTGACCCTAAAAATCTATTTGGTGCATCCTGAGGCTGATTTCTATGAATTTTAAGTGCTATGAGATTATGCATGATCCTTGTTTAAAATTATGCCATTAACTATTTTGAGTCAATGTTGTAAGCAAAATATCTGCKGAATCCACTCCACATTCAGCYCGTGGGTRACTTCCTTCTGGCCCGCCAATAAGCATGTCTAAGAAAAATAAACACAAACAGGTTCTTCTCAAAAAATATTATATTGTGATAAAGTTCATTATTTTCTGTAATGTACTGATAAACATTAAACTTTCATATATTTTTAGATTCATTGCACACCAACTGAAGTAGTTCAAGCCTTTTATTGT